GCATGGAAAATTTTTTTTAATCAATTGGCAGGCGTTTTCACGGTTTCAATTAGCCCTTTAGTTGAGTTTTGGTTTCATAGAGGGGAGGAACATCAAAGTGAAAAAGTTGAGAGGGGGAACGGAAGAGTGATTTAAAGATGAAAAAGAAACAGACATATAGGCAGAAAAAGGCGAGATGAGTACTGTGGAAGTAGTCGAATATGACATACAGTGGGGTCATGGGAGTTTGAAGTCAGTAGTCAACTGCCAGTTAATAAACTTTTTCGCGTATGATTATACGTTGCCCAGGGTACACCACGTGAAGATAAGTCTATCGCAAACCCCAAATCATGAAATATAGGGCTCTTATATAGAAACATTCCTTTTGTTAAACAAAGTTAGCTTTATAGCACACAAAAGATGCACAGATACTTATTTTGCGTGTTTGAAGTTGTTGGTCGTAAAACGAAGATAAATGTTTTGTTTTAATAGTTACCTTTGCTTTTAAGTATTCTATGTATAATTTCCCCTACAACACGATTATTAATCGCAGTGTTTCCTTACACTCAACGTTAACTGAAAGAGTTCAAAGAAATTGAAGAAAGTAGTCTTTAGTTATAATGTAAACACAACTAGAATGTCGTTGTACTAACTCCTCTGGGTGTGGTTTGAGTTATGGTCACGCGTAACCTGCAACAATCGGAGTTGGCCAGGTGTAATCATTTAAATAGTCATTAAATTGTAAAATTAATGCCCGATTTTTCGTTTTTAACCTTTTTTTATTTTTATTAGATAGATAAGCTTTGGCAGATTTACAAAATATTGAAAATCACAAAAACATTTATTAGGGTTCAAATATTTCGTCTTCTGAAGTTTTCAGTTCGAGACTTTCCTCTAAATACTTAACATTTTTTGATACTTCTCCTATGGAGAAAATTGAGTGAGCTTTATATTTAACAACCTATGAAAATATATGTATAAAAGTAGTTCTCTTGTGATTGAAAAATCTTTGGAGTACACTTTATAGTTACCTCTGTTATATGTTTAGAATCTTTAACATGTGACCGAAGAAATTGTCATTTAGACTAATGTACACCACTGCTGTAGTGTATGTCTGTAAAATTGATGTCTTTGTTAATTTTTGTCATCAAGGAGTGCGTGGGCTCTAGGTTAATTCCTCTCTACCTATCTTAAAATTGAACAAATCATCGAGTAATTTTAAAAGTTTTTACTTGTAAAGATTTCACTCTGAACAGAAGAATTTCGTAGTCTCCAAGAGGAGATAAGACAGAGACTAATCTAGACAGGACGAGGTCACTGCGCAGACATTTATTGACTAGATTTTAAAAAAATATTTATGGCATTTGTCTAAATTATGATTACCGTAGATGATTTAGGCAACCACTGGTGACCATTAAAATTCTCAATTTAAATAGTCACCTAACGGACTAATGACGATTAATTTAGTCTTGGCAAGACCTTCCATGTTTTGAAAGTGAGACTAGGTTGTCGGTGTATTGGAATCGATGGCACATTTTTTGCACGCAGTAAAGCATTATTCCACTTTCCGACTAAAAAGTCCGGTCATTTCCATAAGTATAATAATTGAGGGATGGTTAAGGGTCACTTCAATTTATCATTAAAAATGTTATCTTCATTAAGTTCTCCCGTTCAAATAAATTTAAGAACTGGAATTGGTCAAGGTGACTCCAATTTAACACATGTATCAAATATCAAGGTTATTTTTCTAGCTCTTCAGCTCTCTCATAGAACTGCGAGACTAAGGAACAATCTAGATAGTTTTAAAATAGCGTATTTGCAATAAAGCATCTGATAAATAGTAAGATTGAAGGTAAGCGAAAATAGACAAAGTGAACAAGGAGGCGGTAAAAGCTAGAAACGCATCAAACACTTTAAAGCCTCTTTTTCCTTATTCCAGGCTCTAGATTGACTACTTTCTCGTCACAAGCCATGCAGTTTGCTGATCTCTACTCCTATAGCTGTTTCAATCTCATCTACTATCCCCTCTGCTACATGTTCCGCGCGCCACCAATGCTCATGCCACACGAATCCACTGTTCCACATGAAGAGACTGCCCTGGAATCATTCAAAGATCTCGAAGACTCGCCGTGTGGTTTGAGAAGACGTACTACTACGGGTAATTTCGCTTTATTTGCATTTATAACCATTGTTGATTTATCATCGCTTTTATGCCTTCTTCAGACTAGGGAAAAGTATCTTTTTGTTGATAGAACTTCCTTTTTTTCTAAAATTAGTTCTAGGTCCTTTGAGCTACTTTTACCAATCCCTCTTACTGTTAAATTCAATAGCGAATTTATAAAAAAAGAGAGAGATGAAGCAGGGTGTTCTTGAGATGCAAAGGCCATAAAAAGAGGATTTTTATTTTCCTATTTGACCACTTGTGGCCGACTCTTTTCATCAGGCGAGTTAGATATTTTTATTTTAATTATTTGTGCTTTCCAAGTAAATTACCGGCTGTTTTTTTGAGAAAAAATTATAATGAAACTATTTAATTGATAATCACTTGCATTTGAAATGCAAGACCCGAAAATGTATCGTGTTACGATGCGCTCCCAGTAGACGCTTACACGAATATAGCAAAAATTTTCCCATTTTAGTAAATTCAATCGAACATTTATAAGACACTCTATGCAAAAAAGGCAACAAAGGAAGAATCGTGGCAGAAATCTGACAAACTTTCCGAATTTACCTTTTTTGTGGATCGTCTTAATTTTCACTATTATTATCTAATGGAAATTTTGTATCCACCCTTTCTATGAGATGCGTCTTTCATGCAGTTTCGCTTTCACTTATTGAGAATTTTTTCCATTCGACAAGTTAAGTAAATAACTGATTAAGAACTGACTTAAGAAAAATTTATTTATTTATTTCAAATGGCTGGCGTTATGATAGGTATCATTAGATCTTTAGTTGACTTCGGGCTTCAGAGAAAGGAAGATGAACATCCAAGTGGTAAAAAGTCGAGAGGGGGACAGAATAATGATTCACAGACGTAAAAGAGACAGACAGACACAAAGGTAGAAAAAAGGTGAGGTGAATACTGTGGAATTATTCGAATATGAAATGTGATGGGGTCATGGTAGTTTGAAGTCAGAAGTCAACCGCCGGTTTATAGACTTTTTTGGCGTATGAATATACGTTGCTCAGGGTGCACCACGTGGAGGTAAGTCTATCGCACACCCCACTTAAGAAAAATTAATTTTTTAATATTTTGTGGCTAAATTTTTTTTTCGATTTTGAAGAGTGCCCAGACAGTCCACTTATTTGTCATGTTGTTTATGCAATTGAAAAGGTCTCCCACCTATCTAAACAAACTTTTGTTCATAATGATCTCAACATTGTCTTTTAAATTTTGTAAATTCAAAGCAATATCTTGAATCGCAAATATCTGACAGCTTCGTCATTTTAGAAATTAACATTTTGCCAACATTCATGGCCATTTGGAGGTCAAATTGTGTGTAATGCTGTTCGGGCCATCAAAATTCCTTAAGGTTGCACCAATTTTTTTTCCGAGCATGCAAAAATTCCGCATAACAAGATTACTCCACAGAGCGAGGAAACGAAGGTCATTTAAGATCTTCATTTGAAGTTGATTTGAAGCTTGATTGTTCAAAATTGTCATATATTCTATTAACAGTCAATTCCAATGCAATTTCAAATTATCTCCCAGTAAACGGTAGGTATGTGAAGCTCTTGTGGGATTCAGACGCTTTTTCGCTGGACAGTTCTCAGTGACCATAAAAGTTGCTTCCTTTATAATTTCTTGTACTTTGTGTTGCCAAATCGCCAAAGATTGGATGCCAAGTCTTTTCCGAACACATCATTGCTTTCATTAAATCAAGGAGATTTGAACTTATCTGTTACATTCAATTTTCAGTGCAAAATTTAGCTATGATTTAGCAGGATTCGGATTCAAAATCTTCCTAAACTGGTTAATTAGCTATAAGCACTATTTCTGTTATTTTTCTGGAGCACAAATTCTCTGTGTTCCCTGTTTTTTTCAGGTGCATTAGCATTCTTGGGGGATGGGGAGGAGCATAATCTGCACTAGTTCCGAAAATATTAAGTCCTTTCCAAACCGCGTTAGAAAATAATGAGGTTCCAGTGAGAAATCAAATTTAAAGATAATGGAGCTTAAATGAAAGACATTTTATTGTCTCTGAACAATTAATAATTAATTTCATAACTAGACGTTGACTCCAACATAAATGGAAGAAGGCATGAACTGGTTGCTTAAGGGTCCTCTATTCCCAAACACGCGCATTGCAGCATTACTGGGATTCCCCAATAAAATATTGCAATTTAATTACCATACTTGTGTTAAATTGTATGCTATTTAATGCTCTATTGAAATGTAAAAAGTTATAGCTTGTTTAAAACGGTGGTAACCTTTATCAGGCTTGTACTTAAGAGAAGATGAAATTATTGCCTTGCGCAGCTGCTAGTCGGTCGGGGTCACGAAATCAAAAGCACCTCTCACTCGTCCTTGTTGACGCAGAAGTAATTTTATTTCTATTATATAGATAAAATAAATACAAATGTAATAAATGAAAACAAATTCACAACCAACAAATAAATTCTACTTTTAAACAGCCACGGATCTAATATGAGTGATTTAATTCGCTATACATGCCTCATATGAGGTCCCTGATATCTCATGAGTAATATACGTAACCGCATGTTTGTTTCATTCATTTTATGCTGCATGTTTTGCTGTTGCACCTGCTGCTCCTGCACGAATTTATAGAAGCTGAAATGGTCGAACACATAAAGGCTCTGCGACTGAGCAAAATGATGGATGCAGTCGAGAGCTACAAAACGGAAGAGAATGGAGCGGAGGAGGACAAAGAAGATGACGAAAATACACCCTCTGGCAGTCTTCCTGGAAAAAGTTCTCGAGGTACTTCTTCACCGAACAGGCCTTCAGATGTCTTCACTTTTGGGAAAGCCATCTAATAAGACTTACAACCTACGTTTCAATTATTTCCAAATGTGCATGGTTTGCTATATTCATTTTAAACCTGCCTTTATTGTATGATGATCACGCAGTGCATGTTAACACATCCACAAATGTACTTGAAATGCTGACATAAGGTAGTCTGTAACTTAAAATTTCACTTCTACACTCAACTTTAATTGTAATAGGGTATTTTAGCAGTGTCTAGTTGTAATTCAGTATCTCAGACCACTGGGTTCGTAATTATTAAAAGTTAGAATAAATTGGGAGTGCGCATTTTTATTTCCAATGGGAAATTTTGTTTCACCATCAAACGAACGCAAGTTCACTGCTCCGTCTTTGGAGAAGGTAAGTTTGTTACCAAAATATACAAATACTGTTGGAACTTAGTCTTAGTTAGAGCAGATTTATGCCTACAACACCATCGACTTTGGCCATTTGCAAGGTTTCGATGTCGAGTTCAAGTAGCTTGGATTACCATTTTTCCGTCTTTAAGAAGAAGTTAACAGGCAGTTTCAAGAACTAGATTACTGTTTCTGTAGGACGGTCCGAAACTTACGTCCCAAATCCATTACGGAAGGAAATCCACTGGTGTTTGTATGCGAAATTCACATTCTATCATCCCATTGCGACCTCCGAATTATCAGACATGCACTTTGCCCCTTACTCTTGTCAAAAATAGTAACACATTTCTTACACTCTCACATTCGTCGCATTTCTCTGAACTCAATATTAACACACAGTTAGCATAATAATATTATAAAATAATAATAATGGGGTTCTTTCTAAAATGCTCCATCAAAGAGCTACAATTCTGGTATGTACAGAGAAAAAATAAATTCTAAGAATGATGATTAAAATATTTTCTAAATAATTGTTTTCTGAATTAACTTTTAAAATATATTTAGCAAAAATATTTTCGTTGCCCATCAGGTGAATCTCCACTTGCCCAACTGATTTTTGCTCGTTTGTCATCCTCTTCTTCCAATAAACGCGCCAGTGTGGAGGTGCCTAGACACCGCCAATCAATTGGATCATGGCACCGTCCCCATTCTGATGTTTTATCACAACCGTTCCTTGCTAATATTACCCCACCACAGGAAAGAAATCAATCAATTAATAGTAACGACAATGATAACGACGAGGGTGAGGATGTTGAAGTAGAACGTTCTGAAACTGAGAGTTCTGGAAGCGCTGAAGATGCCTGTTTTGCTTGAATCCTCTTATTTCCACCCACTTATTCTTTCATCGAGTTCTTTTTCTTCTTCTTTTTGTCGCTTCGCCTCTTATTTACTTACGTGCCTACCCTCCGATATAGACCACTAATTACTCCACTCAGTTTCACTCTACTTATTTCTATTTAAGCACCTCGGAGTGCAAGTTATTGGTCAAATCGAATTGTGATTAAGCCGATTTTATCAAAAGCAAGAAACACCGACTTTTTCATGAAGTTTGAATCGGTAAAAATTGGGTTTGAAAAACTTGCAGTTTGAAATGACATGTCATAAAATTAGTTTTGGGTGTGAATACCTTTAGAAGGCACCTTTTTTGTATGACAAAGTATTTAAGTTGAGCGAATGTAAGCCCGAACTACTTGCGTTAGTAAGAAAGAAGTTTGTTTGGTTATCGGAACTAGAAGCACTAAACAAGTAAGTCTTAGAAGTGCGAATGGACCAGACGAATGCTAGAGTGGGAAGAAATATAGACCATTGAGGAGGATTTGTTGCATCGTTTGCCGAGGACGTCTGTAAAGTACGAATTCATAGGCTCACCACACATCACAGCAAATCGTTTCAACGTGGAAACAAACTACATGGGTTAAAGTGGCTTACGAAAGATCAAATGAATGCAAATTTACAATGAGCAAGGCTATTGGACAATGAATCTTAAAGAGCTTTCCTTCAATAATATCGACGAATCGTCACTCAAGCGTTCAATTCTTACAACTTGGCTAAAAGGTGAGCACAGGGGCTCTAAGAAAGCATGGATTTGTTCAGTAAATGCAATAGAGAGATGTAAAAATATATTCATGCATAAATGTGTATTTCCTTCCCCGCAGAGAACCTAGTACCATTTCAAACACCTCTCGCGTTTGCATATCTGTTCATTTAAGCGCATTTTCAACCGATCTAAATGAATTTTATTCAAATCTTCAGTTCGACTGTTCGACACAAGTTCAACTAACACGTAATTCTAGTCAGAACACATTGGTTTTAATTTCAACCCGAACCAAATGAACTTACATTAGATAAAATTGCGACAATGTTATAGGCAAATGCTAATTATCTCGAGTTTTTATTCACCTCAAGTAAACACGACTTACAGAACTATGTTTACATGGCATTTTCAGATGTCTCATTTCTGATATATATTGAAGTTCCAAAGTAAAATATTATTTTGAAGTGCTAAACATCGAGGGGAAAATTGATTTTAATGGCAAGACTGGTGAATCAGAACTGAAAGCGGTGAACTAGTATTTGCTATAAATCATTTGATGAGCTATGACATTTGAGGCTTGGATTAAAATCCACTCATTTGTCAATTCGCAGCCACGAATCAAATGAATTATGTCCTTTCTGTCACATTTCTTTACCTCATTTGCTTTCCGTGTTTTAAAATTATAGAGTTGGTGAATGGTTCAAGCACTTTCGATTAATGAGCACAGTTGATTAAAACAAATGTGAAAGCTTCAATTATAAACCCTGCATGTTTGCAAGACATTCGAACGTAAAGTTATCTATGCGGCGATTTGATTGAATTACATTTTTCCTAATGAAATCTAGAAGGATTAATATAAGCCAAGTCAGCTTTGAATGATGCATGTGACTTTAGGAAAGCTGTCGCTTTAGAGAAACCGTCTTGAGGAATATTTTCAGTCTTCGATAATAAAATTGAAAACAGCTACATTAATTAACACCAGAGATATATTTGAAAGTCTTGTTTATAAGGATCAAGGCTTATACCAATAATTCAAATCCTAATTAGTCGGTTTATATAACTAGTTTCAAGCGCAAAACTGTGACTAATTTGACTCTTTTAAATAATAAATTACGAATAAATTTGCTAAAATAAGACGGATTTTTTAAATTGATACGAATTCACGAAGAACATTATACCATACAGCTTGCTTCAAATCAGGAGACATTTTGTCTTTTGCACGATCAAAAATATTTTGTCGATCGAAACCCATTAGGGCCAGAAATTTGCTCTCTAGGTGAATTGTAATTTTAATTAGGATTTAACCATTACTGAGAGGAATAAATTATACCCTCTGGAGAATGATATTAATCAAGCCATTCTCAATAAAAAATTCACTTTCATGCATCTTCAAAAATAATAGAGTTATCAATGTCTAATGATGCACAGAAACAAATTTGGCGACAGTGGAATTTTTTACCACTTGAAAGTCATAAATTTTAGAAATATAAGCACAATATCTGTAATGGCTTTGTGTCAAAACCGATGCAGTTTATTTATTTCAAATGGCAAGCGTTATGATAGGTACCATTAGACCTTTAGTTGTCTCCGGGCTTCATAGAAAGGAAGAGGAACATCAAAGTGGTAAAAGTCGAGAGGGGGACAGAATAATGATTCACAGACGTAAAAGAGACAGACACAAAGGTAGAAAACGTTGAGGTGAGTACTGTGGAAGTAGTCGAATTTGACATACAGTGTGGTGATGGTAGTTTGAAGTGAGAAGTCAACTGCCAGTGAATAGACTTTTTTTCCATATGAGTAAACGTTGCCCAGAGTGCACCATGTGGAGGTAAGTCTATCGCCCACCCCAAACCGATGCAGTAATATCTGCTCTATAATCTGAGCTCACGTAGAAGGCTTCAAGAGCATTTAGCAGTAGAATATTGAAAAATGTTAAAGGACACAAATTTCTGC